ATACAGACTGTCCCTGGCTGCAGTCCTGGAGCTCATCAGTGACAGATGATCTGCAGGAAGCAGAGAGGATAGAACTGGCATAATTGGATAGAACATAGGTTGATGAATCCAGTGGTGAGGCAAGGGGACGGCTAAGTACTCACTGGAGGGGAAGTAACTGCTTATCCACTGGATTTTTCTCTTTTTAAAGGACCACAGCCAGTGGTTCTATTGCTGTCTAACTATAACGTGATTTTGATATACATTTTGGAATTGGTCTGTGCTGTTGGTTAAGTACAGTAATCAGACTGAGGTTCTTCTAGTATGTATTGATGACCATTTTATGTAGAAGGATGTAGGAATGTACAGGTAACAGCAACGTGGGCTTTAGGCTCATTTCTTAGGAATATTCAACATCACAGTGGGATTAGCTGTGGAACTGCAGGTATACTCCTGTTATTCCTCTCTTCTCCCTATCTTCTTTCCTCTCTGGATTTTGAGCATCTTAGCAGAAAGAAGGATTGAGACCTAGAAAACTTGGTAAATCAACATTATGGACTCTTTAAGTAGAAAGCTAAAAGGGGAAGTGCCATCTTCCTGACCTTATCTAAACCCTGACAAAAGACTTTCTCCATCTCTCCTAAAAGCACTGGGAGTTATACTGTGGTAGACTATGAAATGAGTGTTTGAGGTCCATCCCCTTCATGTTTATCACACTGCCATATGCACGGCTGATGCTCTGAAAGTCAAGCTGGGTCAGTGAAGCTGTTCTGTAAGATGTGCCAGAATAATTTCATTCTGCCTGACCTCCGTCTGATGAAAGTTTAGCCAGCAACTTTGGTGAAATTGCTCTGACTTAGCGCTGTTGAGGATCAAGGCAGTGCTATAGGTTACAGTGTGCTGTCCCAGAGGTGGGGGAGCAGGTGTCTTTTGCTTTCAGCCTAAATAATTAGTTTGTGATGATTTGCACTTTATAGCGCAGCTCTTCAAAGAAAAGGGGCTAGAAAGTGACTTCTCAAAAGCAAATGAAAATCGAGTCTGATTCAGGCTATGTGGACTGCAGAAAGATCAGGGGAATTTTGTCCAGCTCCAGTTATGTGCCATTATTTCTACACTGTACAGAAGGCTAATGATGATCTATATTGTCATACACCCGAATTAGAGTTTAATTATTAATACCAGATAGCTGAATTTTGGGGATACATAGTAACTGCCCTTCAGGGGGCAATATTCCCAGTTTTATTCTGGCAATGGTAATTCTAAGTTAAGATATATTTCTAGAGCACTTTCATTATTGGACTTTTTCTATAAATGTGATTGCTTCTAATTAGAAATTATTGTTTTAAATCTACTCCACACGGTCTTTCCTTTTAAGCAAGAAAATTAAACAGTGAATCTTCTCATCTGTCAATTTCTGTAAGCCCCCCTTCTGCCCCACTTTTCCCCAATCACAGGCAGAAGTGGAGCTTCCTGGATTATTATAATCTTTTATAGCACTCTCACATTCTGTTCTCTGAAATGTAATAGAAGAGTTGTACTTGGCCATTCATCAAAATGTAGCAATTCTGTAAGGTATCAGGTAGATGCTAAATACCAGTGCTCTGCAGGTGAACAAATGCACCAAAGGGAAGTTCACGGGCTCAACTCTCAGGTATTGCAAGGGTTTAATCCAACACACTTGTACTCTCAGATGGTTGAAGTAAGCCTCAGGATATGAGCAGGCTGGAGTTCAAAGTAATTTTTAACCCTGTGTAGTTGTGGTAGAGCTCTGTCTGATAAGTATTCATGTTAGAAAGCTTAAATCCATTGAGAGATATTTTAGGCAGAACTGCTTTAGCAGGAAATAAAACACCCGTGTCTATGCATGTGTAAATAGGTTCAGGTACATGTGCTCGTGTGATTTGCTTTCCTTTGCGATGAGACCATACACTGTTTCTCCAAGTACAGTATGCCGTTGGATGTGTATTACCCATTTAAATTTCATCAGAGCTTTTCGGGCATGTCTTTGTCTGAAACATCCTGACAAATACAGCGAATAATAGCTATCTCAGCAGCAATGTATGTGTATTGCTGTCTGCCTGATGCTCTTCTCCTCCACCCTGGTTATCTTGATAAAGGGGTTGTTCAGGAGCCCTAGCCTTCATTTCTCCCCCAACAGCAAAAACTGCATGCACAACAAGGAGCAGACTGAAAAATTATGTTCACGCCTTGACCTTGAGACTTCCTGAACCAGTTTGGATTGGCTCTCCCTTTGAAACAACAGGCTTCCACAGGAAGTTCATAAATGGGCCCAAGTCACAGCAATTGACGTAGTTTTAATATTTTTAACTTGGTTCTTCAAGAACTACCTAAAATGGGCGGTGTTTCATGGACACAAAGAACTGGCCAGCTTTTCCAAGAGCAAACGTCAGTGTGCTGGGCACAACGCAAACCGTTGAAAGCAGTGTGACTAATGGGCCATCGGGCCCTGTGAAGGCAGCTTCTGCTGAGCGCTGCTCCGGGGACATGGCTGGCTGCGTTGTGGAGCTGCACTGCACCCCACCATGCCCCAGTGTTGGCACCACTGGGGGTCCCAACACCATAGGCAGCCAACATCTCTAAAGAGCTAAA